AAGCTCCTCTGGAGGAGCTGGACTTAGCCAAAGCAAGGCTACAATAGAGTCCACTTGCCTTGTGTGTGTGTGTGTGTGTGTGTGTGTGTGTGTGTGTGTGTGTGTACTGCTCACCCATGATATACACACCTGCTTTTAGCAAACATACACACCATGATAGCATACATACACACACACACACACACACACACACACTCACACATGTATATACACACATCTGGTCCTGGCAGGCTACCAACCCTGAGCAGATTACTGACCCTTAATCAATATCCACGTCCACCAGAGGCTAATTAAACACAACAGAGCGAGAGCAGGGAAGGAGGGCAGGAGAGAGAGAGAGAGAGACAGATAGAGACGTGTTCTTAACTTGAGTTTAAGATGATTATGTTCTGTTGTTTAGTTTATGTAATCAAGCTATATAGTTAGGGTTAGCTATATTGCATAACCTGTTTTGCATCTTTTGAACAATTTTATGCATCATACTGTGTTTCATAAACAATCTCCAAAATTTAGAGCGGTGACTATTTGCAACAAATCACACTCACGCAGAAAAGCTGTGTCAGATTTTTCTTTCTGCTTCATATTCCCCCTCATCTCTCCTCCTCCCTTCCTCCATCTATGTCTCTACCACTCTCCGCCCCCATCCCAACTCTCACCCCACCATCTTGCCCCGGGAGCTGAGGTGTCAATCAATCTGTTGCCGGTTGCCGTAGTGAATCCCTAACCCCGCCTCTCCTCCTCCTGGCTCTGTCAGATTACACCCTCGCATGTCAGTCAAACACATCCGCCGTGTTGATTGGCTGAGCCCTGCCGCCCTGCTATGTGTGTGTGTGCGTGTGTGTATGTTGGGATACATGGCCATACCATACCGGAAATCTATTATAAATACATGGAATTTTGCTGTTGATTATATTTTAGCAATGTAAGAATTATTGAAATTCAAGCTTTTTGTGTGAATCAGACACAGTGGACAAATTATGTAATGAGTCATGGTAACACAAACACACTTAAAGGAACAAGAAATAAAAATACTCGATAAAATGTCTCAGTAAATGCTTCAAACAAGCAAAGTCTGGCTGCACTGCTACAGGCTCAGCCAACTATTGTAAAGATGTAAAGAGGTTGTGCATAAAGCACTGTTATTAGTAGCACTTTATGTAGGGAGTGGTACATCTGCCTGGCGAACAACGACTTAATTCAAGTGCATAGAGTGCATGGATATTACAAAAATAGGAAGTTATCTTTAACAGTTACATAATGAATGAATCCTAAAAAGGGCTGTAAATGGTGCCACTGAATAAGCTGGACTGAGGCTGATATTTTGTGCGAGAACTTTACTGTAACAAATACAACATTTTTATATCCAAACACACTGTTTTTTGTACCGTTGTTGTTGTGCACAAACACATATCGGTCAAACCACGTGAACAGGATTCTGCTGAAGGGATGAGCTTGTCTTGTTGCAGCACAGTTTGTGTGTCAGTGTTGCTCCGAGCCTCATCAATCCCCGACATCTGTCTCAGTTCAACATGGACAACCCCCTCCACCTCATCTCTCTCTCTCTTTCTCCCTCTCTTCCTTTCTCCATAATCTGCCTACCTCCCTCTATCCTCCGTCTCCCTCTCTCCAGTCACACATGAAAGCCTGCCTGACTTATGCCTGTCAGAGGAACATTCTTCACCATGAGGACAAGAGCTGAGAGGAGAGAGAGGAGGCTTCCAGATAAGACCAATGAACACACAAACACACACACGATTACACCCACCAGTTCCCACTGCATGGGCCAGAGCGGGTCATTGAAGGTGAGGGACTGGTCACTCTTATTCTCCCCAGGCTGCCTGTCAGTTGTAGACTCTCTCCTCCGGAATCCTGCAAGCACACAGACCCATCATTTGTGGATGTGTGTGTGTGTGTTTTTTCTTGTTTTGAACTCTGACTTCAGGAAGTCCCCGGTCTCCAACCAATGGTGAAAGGCTTCCCAGATTCCCCTTCTCTCCAGTGAGGTGGAATACTGCCGAAAGATTACCATATCATTAGCATATAATTAGCATCTCATTACGGTGGCACAGCTTGGCTCTCTGTCTGTCCATGTGCTATCAGCTCATCAAGGCCTGCACCTTTCTCTCCATACGCTATGTACACTCGCTGCTACTCTCTCGCGCTTTCTTCACATTTTCACCCCTCCACAGTGCTCTCTCTCTCTGCCATACACTCACTCTCACATGATGGATATGAATCAATTTGTTTCATAATACACTGTATGTACTGAAAAATTAATTAATATCACACTAGTTGTTAATGGGAAGCTCTGTTTCTGAAATGACCTTAATAAGACAGTGCAGACAAACATCCATGAATATATTCCAAGCATTAGTATTAATTAAGGGTGTAATGCTACATGTATTGATCCTGAACCATTCAATTTGGTATGCAACTTTCTGTGGTTCCTCTGAACCGAGTAATTGCTGAAGCACCCCTAAATTGAATCCCAGCACCCCTAAAATTTGAGATACAGCATCGTAGGTCATCGTAGGTTTATGTTGTTGGGTAGGAGTCAGCTGACGTTTTTTCTAGCTAGGCAACGTTACAGGTGGTCAGTACCACTGTCCTCTGTTTGAATTGGAATGAGAGAGGCGAGCTGGTGTGTCATGTGCATGTGTTAATATTAAAGCCAAGGTGCTACTGACTAGCTAACTGACTGGATGCCCATTAACATTATAACTCCTATTGTGTGTATTTATTAATATTATTTTGTAGATTTCAAGCACTTTTATTTTTTGAAGTGTATTTTTATTTATGTATTTATATTATATAATACAGACAAGAAGGAAAAAGGCAGAGACAAACATTGAAAAAGTCAGTTACTGTTAATGTGTTACATGTTGTGCATTGCATTTCAAATAAAAGTCCAAAAAATAAGTCCAAGGTCCATTTTTGGTATTTTTGGTACTCACTATAGGGGGCTGGTTTACTCCAGAAACATACATACTGTTTATGTATATGTTGAGGAGCTGCTGTATCAAAATGAGTTATCCTCCCCCAGAAATTAGGGTTACGATATGTTTCTTTTATGATTCCAATCCATTCCTCTTTTGCTGTGGCTCAGCATTTAAATAACTTTTATCAGATTTGATGGTTTAGTCGCAGACTTTCCCAAAAAGTGTTGTGACTTTTCTTTCACAAATGTGGGAATAAAATTGAGTTAAAATGTACAAAACAGTCAAATTTATTTTGCCTGCCCGGGCAGCTCTCTAGGTGCTCAGCACCCCTAAACCTCTGATCCTAGAATCGCCCCTGCTGACACATTTACCTACTACACTTTAATTAGGTCTAGTTCTTCGCATGTGTACAACATAAATTCTCAAATTAGTTTCCAGATGTACAGTGTAATTTACATACAGAGTGCTGTGTTGGAAAAGTTACTTTTGAAATTTAACAGGTTAGAGATTACTAGTTATGATGAGGTGAGGCCTAGCAGCCTTATTACAACCAAAATTAGCTACAGCCAACATAGGGAAAATACCCCAAGAGTCAGCGAGAGCAGGGGTGGAAGATGACTCACAGGTGGATTACACGGTAACAGACATTGGAAAGGACACGACTATGACTTGGACTGGTGACTCAGTGAAGGATAGGGGCACGGACCTATCCACCAGTGCTAGAATTAGCAGCACTCAGGGCAAGGTGAGCGCATCGGTAGAGGGCAAAAGTAGCATAGTTGAGAACAAGATGCTTCAGGTTTGTCCTTGCGGCTGGCAGAAAGTAACATCAGTGAAAGGCCTCAGAACTCATCAGGGAAAGAAGAAGTGTGTGGCAAAGAAAGGGCAGAGTAGCCGCATTGATCAGTACTTCCTAAGAAGTCAGTCGAGTCAGTCGGATGAAGTCCAGCGGCAGGTAGAAAACCACAGTTCGCAGGATATCAGTAACGCTGCCACTGAGGAGGAGGGGGTAGTAAGAGAGGATGCAGGTGACACTGAGGCCAGTATGCTAGCCAGAGAAAGAACTATGGAGCAAAAGGTTAGAGTTAGATGGCCTAGAGCAAATGACAGTAAAGAATGGGAGATAGTTAATAGAGACTTGTCAGTAATCTTGAGTAGGCTTAGAGGAAATGCAATACAAAGGTTAGAAAAGATGGGAGATATAATGTATTCATATGGTGTAGAGAGGTTTGGGGTGCATGAGAGAAAGAGGAGTGAGAGGGTACAGTCAGGTAAGTCTAGGCGGCAGAGAGAAATAGAGAAGTTAGTCAAGGAAAGGAGACAGTTAAGAAAGCAGTGGAAAAAGGCTACAGAAGAAGAAAGGGAGGGAATTAAGGTGTTGCAAGAGGAGTTGAGAAGCAGGCTAGCAGTTCTTAGAAGGGCGGAGCATCTCAGGAAAAAGAGGAGGAAGAAGGAATATGCTAGGACAGGTTTTTTCAGGGACCCTTTTAAGTTTGTTAAAGGATTGTTCAGCCAGGAAAAGGGAGGGCAGCTTAAAGCAGAAAGGTTAGAGGTTGAAGAATATTTGAGAAACACGTATTCAGATTTGGAGAAGAATAGGATAGTAGGTTTCCCACCTGATATCCCTCCATTAGGAGGGATAGAGCATGAGATGGATGTCAGGCCACCTAGGTGGAAGGAAGTTCAGGAGGTGGTCAGGCGTGCAAAGGCTTCTTCGGCCCCAGGGCCTAATGGAGTCCCCTACCGGGTTTATAAAAGTGCGCCTGATACCCTTAAATTTTTGTGGAAACAGCTAAGAATAGTTTGGGAAAAACAAATTATACCAAGAGCATGGCGTAGGGCAGGGGGTGTCCTCATTCCTAAGGAGAAGGAGTCTGTGGACCTTAGCCAGTTCCGGATGATTTCTCTCTTGAATGTGGAGGGGAAGATTTTCTTTAGTGTAGTAGCGCAGAGACTAGCTAGCTACTTAGAAAGGAATAGCTTAATAGATACCATGGTGCAGAAGGCAGGAATACCAGGTTTTTCAGGGTGTTTAGAGCATACTAGCATGATCTGGCACCAGATTCAGGCAGCGAAGATTAACAAAAGGGACCTACATGTAATATTTTTAGATCTTGCAAATGCGTTTGGTTCAGTACCGCACAGCCTCATTTGGAGTGCGTTTGACTACTTCAGAGTGCCACAGGTAGTTGTTAACTTAGTGAAAGCATATTTTCAGGATATTAGGTTGTGTCTAAGTACAGCAGGTTTCACAACAGGTTGGCAGAGGCTAGAAATAGGCATCATGGCAGGGTGTACAATTTCTCCATTAGCATTTACTATGGCAATGGAAGTAATCATCAGGGCTTCTAAGTGGGTGGTAGGTGGGGAGAGACGGCAGAATGGGTTGCATCTTCCACCAGTTAGGGCTTACATGGATGACATGACACTGGTGACCACAACAATGCCATGTACAAAGAGGCTACTAGAGAAGGTAAATAAGAACCTCAAGTGGGCCAGCATGAAAATCAAGCCTAGTAAATCTAGAAGCATCTCGATATGTAGAGGGAAGTTAAGTGATAGGAAGTTTGTCATAGATGATGAGGACATCCCAACAATTAGGGAAAAGTCAGTAAAGAGCTTAGGTAGGTGGTACAATGTAGAGTTGAATGATAAGGAACAGGTGGTGAAATTTAGAAAAGATGTGGCTGAAGGATTGGATAGAATAGATAAATCAGAACTTCCAGGAAAGTTGAAGTTGTGGTGTTTGCAATTTGGGCTATATCCTAGGTTAATGTGGCCATTGTCAGTTTATGAAATTCCAATATCTGTTGTGGAGAGAATGGAAAGGTCGGTTAGCTCCTACATTAGGAAGTGGTTGGGCGCTCCTAGGTGCCTAAGTAGTGTTGCATTGTATGGAAAAGGGATACTTCAGCTGCCAGTATCTAGTTTAACAGAGGAATTTAAATGTACCAAGGTCAGGACAGAGCTCTTGTTATCTGGGAGTAAGGACGTGGTAGTTAGGAGTGTGGTTCCAAATCCAACCAAGGGGAGGAAGTGGAACCCAAGATCGGCAGTTCAGGAGGCAGAGGCAGCTCTTAGACATGCAGAGATTGTAGGTAATGTTCAGTTTGGCCGGGGAGGCCTGGGGCTTGGCTCAGGTAAACCGGTATGGAATACAGCAGGCCTCAAAGATAAAAGAAAGCTGGTTGTAGAACAGATACGCAGACAGGAAGAGATAGTAAGGGGTGCAAAGGTAGTGGCCCAGGCTAAACAGGGACAGTGGTTGAATTGGGAAAGTGTAGAGAAGAGGAAGCTTAGTTGGAGGGACCTGTGGAGTATGGAGGAGAATCGTATTAGATTCCTGGTAGGGGCTACATACGATGTGTTACCAACCCCCCAGAACCTAAAACTGTGGGTAAATGAGGACCCATCATGCCCATTGTGTTCACGTACCGCAACTTTAAAGCATATTTTGTCAGGCTGTAAAGTTAGCTTGTCACAAGGCCGATATACATGGCGACATAATCAGGTGTTGAAATGTTTAGCTGCAGGCATCGAAGGGAAACGAAGACAGGTGAATTCAGAAGGTGTTAAGGATAGGGGCTTAGTAATTCAGTTTGTCCGTGAGGGAGAGAAATACAGAAGGGATAAGTTAGTGAGGAGGCAAGGGTGTGGCCGCCTAGAAGGTGCTTGTGATTGGGAAATGCAAGTAGATTTAGGGGGAAAGCTTGTTGTTCCTCAGGAAATAGTCTGTACCAGGCAGAGGCCTGACTTAGTGTTGTGGTCAGTGAGTCAACAGATAGTTTATTTCATTGAGCTGACAGTTCCTTGGGAAGACTCAGTGGAAGAAGCCTATGAAAGAAAAAAGCTTAGATATGCAGACTTAGGAGCAGAAGCTGAGCAGCGAGGATGGAAGACTAGGATTTGTCCAGTGGAAGTGGGGTGTAG